CCATATCTGAGTGGCACAGACTCTGGCGATCATCGGTACCACCTCACATGGTGTCTCTCCGGTGAGTTGTCTCACCTATAAAAGCCACAGCTGCTCCCTGAACCCAGGAGCCTTAACTTATACCCAGAGAAGATATCTGGGGCATAACGTGAGAAGCCACACGGAAGAGTGAGCCAGAGGCAGGCCTCAGAGAAAAGAAGAACACAGCACGCTGCCTGGAACCCCAGAAGCCAACATAGGTCCAAGAAAAGGAAACACTAACTTTGCCAGGCAGGTGGCTTGTCTGTCCACGAGGCAGCTTTGACTGAATACACAGATGAAGGTAATAAACAGGACTTCGAATCTGTGAGTGATTAAGCAGTCAAGTGGTGTTCCTATGTTTAGGCAGACACTGAAGCATGAGGCAACGTCCTTCTAGAAAATGCTGCTCTGTCTCTAACAACCAGTGCATGTGTGCAGAACCAGCAGATGTAGAGGGTCTAGGGCCTAGAAAGCCCTCCTACCTGGATTTATTGTCCTTAATCCAGAGATGCTGGGTTTCTGGTAGCAAGCCCAGGACCCCTCCACTATGACCAAGCAGAGACAGTCTCGGGTACCCTGGGAGTGGGCACTCCCATTGTTCTGAACAACAGCATTGCCACCCTGTGGTGCCTATTCATGACACACCCTTTCTGGACCTCAGCACCTAGTGGAATCACACAGGTAGGTTTTCCTTTTAGTTGAAGTTTCTCCTCATGGTTCAATCCTCCCTGACCCAGGAGAGCTACACCATACCAGCCTTGATATTTGCTGGGTCCCGAGATGCTGACTTAATTCATGATTAGTGACTTGAGTTTGCTCACATGCTGGTGAGATACTTTATTACCAAGAACATTAGGGCACCGTTTCTACTAGCAAGAATTGTCACATTCAATAGGTGGAAGGGACCAAAGGAAAGTTATAACATGAAGTTACAGGTTAAGATATCTTTATTCAAGTAATACCGGCCAAGCACAAGCCAGAGCGAGCCCAGAGGCAGCAAGCTAGGGAGGCCAGAGAGAAGGGGCTCCCCATGTGTCTGCCGCCCCTTAAGAATTCTCCACTGCGCGTCATCCTGAACTTCCCCTGACCACGCCCTCATGGGCGTAGCCAGGCACACCTGTAGAGGCTCCTAGGAGGCAGGGCTACAGTGTCTCTCTACAGAAAGTACTAGATATTACATAAATTTGGAAGAGAATGTGGAGTGGACACAGCCTCCAGACGAAAAGAGAGGCAGGAGATCAAGACAGGGACCAGGGCAAAGCACATACATGGTTGGCTCTCAAGGGCACTGTGCAAGGCACTGCCAGTCTCACAGGGCAAGGGAGGACGGGCATGGGCACGCTTCTCATGCCTCCTTAACAATATTACTCTGTGTGCAGAGTGACTAATTGCTAACACTCATTTCTAATGTAAAAATGTTCACCCATTCCTTCAGCAAAAGCTAGTTGAAATATGTTTAAAAGCACGGAGTAAGTTTTTGGAGATACAACAAGACACATATGTTCTCTTTCTCTCTCACTCTCAAGAACAACCAATGAAGCTGGGCGTTGGTGGCGCACAGCTTTAATTCCAGCACTTGGGAGGCAGAGGCAGGCGGATCTCTGTGAGTTTGAGGCCAGCTAGTTCCAGAATAGACTGCATAGCTATACAGAGAAACCCTGTCTCAAAAAACCAAAAACCAACCAAACAACAAGAAACAAACAAACAAGTAATGATCAGTGTGCCGAGGCCACTGGTGACCACGCACTGTGCCTGGATAATAAAAAGAAGATGTCTCAATTTGCCAAGAGTTCCTCAGTGTGGGCTGCTTAGCCAGCCCTGCTATGGTCATCTTCAGAAGAGACGCTGCCTGTTCACATCCCCGTCTTTCCTGAGGATGTCAGATACAAACAGCACTGGGCACTGCAGACTGTGTTCCTCCAGGCAGTCTGGCAATTAAAGCGCAGTCCCTTTGACTCCTCAACTGGCTGTCAGGATTCTAACGATCCACTGTGGACACCGGGGATTCCTAGGGTGAGGTTGTGACCCAGAGACACAAGCCTTGGCTCTGAGGGGCTTCAGAGGCATACAGGAACCCTCAAAAATGTGAAGCTGTGCACTGTTTGACAAGCAGGGATATCTGTGCCTGGCCTGGCATTTCCCATCTTCTGCTCTTACCACGAAGCAGGGAATAACCTCAAGCTCGCCTCCCCCCACCTCCAGTTCCTCCCACGAGTGTAATACTCTTCATTTAAAGCAAACCAAGGCCCACTGTTCAGCACCTTGCTTGACCTGGTTCTAAGCTGACTGTAAACATCACAATTCCTTTGGCAAGTACCACCTAATTTTGCAGGAAGGGGGTCACCAAGGCATGCCACTGTTGGCCCTAGAGTGGCCACGGATGAGGACATAAGGCTATATGAAGCCATAGGAAGATTCCTCTACTGACTTCCTGGAGGACATGCCTCAACCCTCACACCCTTAGGCCCCTGTGCACATACTGTCAAATATAAATGTGTCTCAGCGGTGAACTGAAACTAAATTACAGAACTCCAAATACCTCCACAGCTTCCAGAGTCCTGAGTGCAATACTTTTGAGAACTGACATTGGTTTTGGATGGATTTATCTCATCCTTTTGTTCTGTTTTCTTGATACATCATATGGTAACATGGAAGTGCTCCGTGTCGGGGCTGTGGAAAAAATGTCTCGCTAGTGTTGGAGCTGCTTTATTTCTGATTGTTGATGTTCTTTTACACCAATTCCACACTGCTACGGAATATGGAAGCAGCTCTCATAGAAGACAGGAACTCAGCGGTGGTGTCACTTCTGACATGAGGCTACGTCCTGTGGGGCCTTGTCCCACCAGAAGTCCTCCCTCAATGCTGGCTCTGTGCAGCCTCTGGCGGCCATTGCCCGCAGCATCTTCATCCTGGTAACCTACCGCTATTTATATTCTTGGCATTGGAACCCTGAATATTTCAGAAAGCAGACACAGAGCTGGGGACACAGGCTGTCTCTTCTGAGAGCTGCACAGTGGCTAAGTCCGATGGTCAGCTCTGCTCTCCTGAGGGTGGCTGGCCAGTGACCAAGAAGGTCTTACAAAATAGAGAGGTGGATGAATCAGACACACACATATTTATTTTTCCTGTCAGCTAATACTGAAAATAGAAACCCTCAGCATAAAATGTCCAAGTAGGTATCCGTCCTTGCAAGAAAACCAGTGATTTTTTTTTTCTACACACCAAACAGGGGAGAAATCCTACAGACTTGATCTACCTGACCATGCCAGCCAAGCACCAAGGAAAGACAAGCAGTTTTCACAGACTCCACCTAGGCTGCTCATACAGGTTGCTCTCTGGAAACAACCCAGGAAGCTGTCTCAGGTGTTGTCTTAGAGAGAGCCACCCAGCAGGCGTCTTCAGCCTCGGACATCAGCCGCCACCAGCATCTCTAGCCATCACTAGCTGCAGAGGTCTGCCCAGCTTCCATTAAAGTCTTACTTTAATTTTATTCTTTAAAAAAGATTTGTTTCTGTTTTTTGTGTATGAGCATTTGCCTGTATATATGTATGTGGAAGCCTATGAATCCTGAAGAGGGCACTGGATCCCTCGGAGATGTAGTTACCAGTGTTGCGATGCCATAGGTGCTGGAAACCCCAAAAGTGCTTTTAACTTGTTGTTATTGCTGTTTAGTGTGGGGGGGTGGGAGGGGGCTTTGCCACAGGATGGCTTTCCTGAATTCTGAATTTTTACTGGACAGAGCCAACCTCAGTGGCCACCAAGCTGACTGTTTCGTCTCAGCCGAAGTCAGTTTTCTGGTGCTAGCCCTTCATGGGGGTGGTGGAAAACCATGGACTACATTTGCATCGATGGACTGAGGTTGACCAGACAGACAATCTGGGGGATGTGGCCTTCAGAACCACACGTGCGCTGTAAAATAACAGATCTTCAAGGGAAGCCTGGAGCCAGAGTCTTCACTTTCAAGCGAGGAAACAGTGATCCAAGGCAGGCCGGGGAAAGGTAGCTATTTGCAGACTTTCTGACTAGTGTGGGGGCAACTGGCGGCTTGTGATTCTGGAGGCTTGAGAAGTATCCCAAAAGGCCAGGTGCTAATAACATTAAAAAATGTACTGTGTTATAAGACTTAACACAAATAAAGAGTGAAGAGCCAATCATTTCTCATTGTTTATGAGACAAAATGATAATTAGATAATTTGGGTTAATATAAAGTACACTATGAGAATTAATCTCACTTTTTTTGCTTGTTTTAATGTGGCTACTAGAAATTTTGCATTAGTGATGTAGTTATAACTGTGTTTTGTTAGGTAAGAGGTTCAGAGTGGAGTCTATAACCTGAGGCTTGCCAGCATACAACACACTATTGTAACAATCACACCTTGAGTTTAATTTCTTTCATGAAGAGGTTGTACACATGACTATGGAGCAGAGACCCAGGACTTTGATGTTGATACCTGAGGATGGGGGGGGCATACATCACAGGCCTGGTGTCCCAGAAGACTCTCTCTTCACTCAGAAGCCAAACTTGACAAACACACAGGATTTACAACTGGCTTGTCTTCAGAAAACTGACATCCCATTGACCCGTTGACCCGTTTGCTTCTGACAAGTCTCTATCACCCTTTGTTGAGCCAACATCAAGGGTAGCTAATATCTTAAAACCAAGAATTCTGATGTGGGCTGTGATTCCCTGGGAACCAGAGCTGCCTTTGCAGAGCATGACAAAACCATGTTAGTAACAGCTGCCTCGTCAAGCCAGGGAAACTGTTGGTGTTAACAACTGAGGTTTTCCTTCAAAAGGTTTGGTGGAGTCGCCACTGACACAATGCTACAAGAGCTTTGCTTGTGGCTCACCAGAACTGTAACAAGTGGACCTGTCTTTAAGGTGAAGGTAACCTCCGACCTCCTGGGTAGTGAGGATGCTGAGAAGTGCAGACAGCTTGACCATCCACCCGCAGCCCAGACTTATTCCCCAAACCCACCTCTCTGCTTTTCTGTCTGGCTGCTCAGCAGCTCTTCACATTTTGTCTCCTCTTCCTGTATTTCCAGATGAAAGCGACATTCTGGATGGATGCTGCTCACCTGTCCAAGTTAAAGAAATAGAATAACTAAAAATTACACAAGAGGAGTTAAGCAAAAAAAAAAAAAAAAAAAAAAAAAAAAAAACCTTTTCAAGGAGACCCAAAGCCTCACAGCTCTACACTTGCTTTCAAGATGACATTTGTTTTAAAGTAGCCATCTTCATTTTCCTAGTGTGGCTATTGAAAAAAGAAAGAGAAAAGAAAAACTTGACTATGTATTTTGTGAAACGAACATAAGATCCAGTAGAATGCTATTCCTGAGCAGGGAAGTAAACTGGCAATCTATATTGTATGTTGCTATTACCAACTTAAGAGCAATTGGGCTGTAGAAATTCATACTCTCAGAATTGAAGAGCTCCCATTTCACAGCCTGGGGTTTGCTGAAGTTCAGCAAGTTAACTCTTAGTGTCTGTGGGCTGAGCACAGTTGCTCTGTGATCACCCTAGAGTCACAACAGCCTAAGTGAAGTTTCACAAGCTTCGGGACACATTAGAAACGTAACCCTCTGAGTGCAGAAGACATTGCGAAGTTTGGGAAGCACCTTCTTTTAAAAGTAAGAGGGATTAGAAGGGAGAGGTGAAGCAGAGAGAAACGTACTCATCCCAAGGAGCAATGGGAGGTTTCTGGGAAATCTTTCCTAGGGTCCTTAGACCCTGTAGAAGCGAACCCTGAGGTGGCACACCAAGAAATAAAGAGAGAATCGTGAGTTCTCAGCCCCAAAGACAAACTTCTCTGATCTGTGTCTTCCTAGGCTGGGCTGCTTATAGAGCACTTGTTCTCATGACTTGTCCTTTAGTTTCCCCCTTTACGTCTCAGCTCCTGCCCGTCTTCACCAAAACTTGCTTTTATAAGACAGTATTGCATAGGAACCTTGCTCAGTGAGGTGTAGCAGTTACCCTACGTTGATATAGGCTAGGTAGCATCCCAACAAGGAGTACAATTTCCTGATGGAATCAAAGGACAGTACTCAACGTCAGATTTTCCTGCCACATTCATTCATGTAAAGACCACCTGGGATACCTTAGCTTTGCCACCTCATCACTACAAAAACCACCCCAATGTAGCGATCCCTAATGCCAAGCAACAGCAACTCATGGACCTAAATTTCAGAACTGGTTGATGAAATGATCAATAAAGGTAATAAAAGCAATGAGACCTCTGACATTGCTGGGACAGAGGCAACAAGGAGAAACCTGGGACATTTGTGAGGTTAGAGTGGATGGGAGTCCCAAGGCTTGCTCCGCTCAGCTGCCCGTGGGGGCGGAGAAGATGCGACCCAGAAAACTGAAATTACATCAACAATGATGGATGGATTTCCTTGAACAATCCCTCCCCTCTTTGCTACAAACGCTTCGCTTCGTTGGCTTCCTCACCCCGGAGGCCTACGTGTGGAAACCTTGCACAGGAACACAGTTCTCGGTGCAGGGAAGGAAAAGCAAGAAACGAGGCTCACGCCCGTCTTTTCTTCCAAAAAAAAAAAAAAGAGAGAGAGAGAGAGAGAGAGAGAGAGAGAGAGAGAGAGAGAGAGAGAGAGAGAGGTTTCAAATAAAGGGTAGCGTTCCGAAGAACTGCATAAAACCAATGGAACCCATGTAGCAAACTTCAGGGTTTCCTTCGTCTCTCTTAGGAAAAAAAAAAAAGGAGTATTTCCAAAAGGAAACTTTCTTAGTCACGCCACGTTCCCTCTGTCACATACTAAACAAACACAAGGACCAGGAGATGGAAAGAGAAATATTTAACCACACAGCAACTGCAGTTTCCCTCAGGAGCGAAGCCAGAGCAGGTGGCTCCGGCAGCGGCCACTCTTCTTGCAGGGGTGTCCCCAACTCCAAGCGCACTGTCAGACCAGGACCCGGATCGTCCCCCCACCCGCCCGGGAGGTGTCGAGGAGAACCTGGGCCCCACTTGTGGCGAACCCGCGACGGTGGCGGGAGTAGGAAAAGCGCCAACGAGTCCAGCAAGCCAAGGGTTAGGTAAGGCTTCAGTAGGACGCCTGGGGTCCGGTGCATTCTGCTCTGGATCCTCCCCGCTGGCTCCACTCTCCACCCGCTCGCCCGCTCGCTCGCTCGCTCGTGCTGGGACTCGGGAGGTGAGTCCAGCTGTCCACTGCAGGACGCACCTCCTCGGGAAGGGGGCGCGGGTTCACTCACCGGCACCAGCAGCCAGCAGCAGCAGGTCAGCAGCACCGACGCCCTCATCTTGGGCTCAGCGCGCCCGCCTAGGTCCTAAGCGCCCTCAGCAGCACCGGCCCGGCTCGGGGCCTCCGAGCGAGCGAGCGAGCGAGCGAGCGAGCGAGCGCAGATTTCCTCCTTCTCGCGCCTAACGCCCTCTCCGCCTTCCAGGCTGCAAGTCCCGGCCCCGCCCCTCGGCCCAGTCCCCGCCTCGCGGCCCCTCTCCTTTCCGCAGAGCCTCTCCCTGGCACTCGGGTCCACCAGGTCTCCGTCCAAGCATTCCCCCCTCCACCCTGCAGAGCTGGGCCCTGAGCCTCACCCCAAGCCCCTCTTGGCTGGGTTACTTCCCTTGTCAACCCTGCTCTCTCGCGCCCCTTCCTGCCGGGCTCCCTTTGCTAACTCTGCTGCACCGCCTCCCTCCTCTGCGACCCCACTGTGGGCTGCCTTGCCCACGCCTTCGGAGGGCTGGAGGCTCAGGTAAGCACATGCCCGCGGCATGAAGGGCCTTGCCCAACCTCAGATAAGGGAACGTGAGCGCTGAGGCCGCACTGGGCACTAACTTCCAACGAAAAAAGCGAAGTCTGCATGCAGCTCGAGGAAGAACTCCAGAAAGCAGCTGGACGCCCATTGTAGGGGCCCGCACTGGTGTGAGAGAAGAGAAAGAAGAGAACACTTGTATGGTTTCCCCCGGAGCTCAAGGCCGGGTTGAACAAAAAGCAGGAACTTCACCACGACAAAAGTGAGTCTGTGCATTGGTGCCGGAACAGAATTGTCTCCCCAGGCCTTCACGCGCCACGTGGTGCGGTCCACTGGACACCAGGCCTATAGTGACACTGCCACTTGCTCAGCTGCGGTTTGGCTCTCCACGGGCCAGTTCTAGGGAAGAGTAGAAAGTTACCAGCAGACAACAGCACTAGATGAAGTAGAGCAGGCATTTTTAAACTTCTTGTTCTCGTGTTGTTTTAAATCCAAAGCTAGAAGACGCAAAGTAGTAGGAAATGCACCCTTCGAACTTTGGGTGTCTGTCTGGCCACTGGCTTTCTCCTCTTGGAGTTTGTCATGCGCTCTATGACGGCAAAGTCCCATGTACCTGAGGACCTAGGTTTCTATCTGTTGTGTGTCATTCTTCCACCGTCTGTGCGTCTGTCAGTGAATCGGAATGGTCTGGGCACTAGTTTTGCAGGCTGAGGTCTGGAAGCTTGGGCTCCGGTTCAGTCCACAAACATTCGTTATTGCAGCCAGTGAACCTGATAAGTCACAACAATGACCCCTGCCCTTCTCCCCAGAGAGTCACAATAAGAACTAGGAGAACTGATTCACACAAATTGTGAGGGCCTGCACTCCAAAATCACCACTGGATATTCTCAGTCAAAAGTCGGTGAGATGCCAGGGTACTTACCCACAGTGCTCCACCCACAGCAACAGAGCATGTGACATGTGAAGTGATAGTTCTGACAAAGACTAGATACAGGCAGGGGGAAACAAGAGGGCCCTGTCCTTCCTGGGGAAACCCTGGAAGAGTGAAAGTCCCAAAGAGACTGGTCACCAGTGGCGGTGAAGAAGAGTCCTGTGAAACATGACATCCAGAGGTCAGCACTGCGGCAGTTCAGAACATCAAGACACACAGGGATTGGGTCACTGCTGTCTAGAACCGTTGGCTCGCCCTCAGAAAGGACACTTATAGAGGCACACTAGCCGGCTCTCCTGGCTTTGTCTGAAGTCCTACTATAAATTAGAAACAGGGCTGGGTTGGTCAGTGAGACTTCACTCTGTATTTTAAGGTCTCTCCTTTCCAAGCCATCCCTGTTGGAGTGACGAGAGAGAGAGAGAGAGAGAGAGAGAGAGAGAGAGAGAGAGAGAGGAGAGAGAAGAGAGAGAGAGAGGAGAGAGAGAGAGGCGATGTGTTACATTTGTTTTATGCTGCAGAATGTTACTTTAACTGTGTCAAAGCATGTTGCTTTTGTTTATGCTGCATTTGTTAAAATAACGATGTAAGGATGTGTGTTTAATTATGTAAAAATGTGTCGCATCTGTTTCACCTTGCCTGCCTAAGGAACCTGATTGGTCTAATATAGAGCTGAATGTCCAATAGCTAGACAGAGAAAGGATAGTCAAGGCTGTCTGGCAGAGAGAATAAGTAGGAGGAGAAATCTAGGCTTAAGGAAGAAGAAAAGAAGGCAGAAAATAACAGAGAAGAAGGAGAGGATGAGGCAGACACCCAGGGCAAGAAGCCAGGCAGCCACCAGACAGACAGACACAGAGAAGCAGAAGAAACATGATATTCCTGGTGGCAAAAGGTAAATAAAGAGAAACAGGTTAATTTAGAAGAACTGGCCAGAAACATGCCTAAGCTAGGCCAAGAATTCAGAACTAAGTCTCTGTCATGATTTGGAGCTGGGCGGTCACCCCAAAGAAAAAGCCTGGAACAGAGGCCCCCTTGTGCCTATGGGCGAGTCTGCTTGGATCTATGATGGAACCTCACGCTATTCAGAGCCAGGATCTGAACCTGAGTATCAGACTTGGGCTGTGCCCCTAGCATCCCTCCGAATCCACTCTGACCCCTCCCCTCAGCATCTCCACCTTCTGATGTTTGGCACCTTATCCGTCCCACACTGGCATCCTCTTGAATGCTGGACCATTTCCTGGTCCCTCCTGGTCCCTCAGTGGCTGCTCTGGTTTCCAGACCAATATGCCACAGGCTTTCAGTCCTAATTATCACAGAGGTTTCTTATACCCCAAAGCAGCATTTGGGGCTTTGGGACAGTGCTTTTCATATATCATTTTAATTAATTAATCCCTTTGGTCTCTTAGGATGTGGTCACTGATTTCTTTTCCTTTTTTTTTTTTTTTTTTTTTTTTTTTTTTTTTTTTTTTGCCTGTGAAGTTTAGCCTCAACTACAAAGGCCAAAGCTGAGGGCTCAGATCTGTAGGGTCAGCTGGCACTCTCCAAGTGCTTCACTACCTGGAGCTGATTCAGTGAGACTTATCAGAAACGTTAGAAGCCTATATGAACACATTAAAAAGCAGATACGCAGGAAATGACAGACGACACCCACTAACATCCGCTGACTCTTGCTCTGTTTTCTTATCTACCTGGGGTTTGTGCTCAACTACGATCTTCAACAACAAGAATGAAAGTGATTGTTTTCGGTGCTATTTGTCTTACTTCTACAAAACGAAACTCTTTCTCCGGTGCTTCTTTCTGACACCACCCTGTAATGAGGGGAGCAATTTCAGGGGAGTACATAAACTGAACCTGTTTGCTGTGCCTGGAGGAATGGTTTTGAGAGACACACGGCCCATTAGAAGGTGCAACCTCAGCCGTCTCCAGGTTCTGCACAGCTCAGATGCAGAGAAGGAAAACAACACACTACTGAGTTTTGTAAAGTGCAAACCTCCTCCTTTGCAAAATGTATTATTAGGTGATGGGTTGTCGGCTCATCCCGGCTCCCTTAATATCCTGCAAAGCAAACTAAACTCTTGCTTAAAAATGTCAGATTTATATGATTACATATTAGTTATGGGTCTTGAAATGTAAAATGGGAATGTAAGAGAGTTCTACCTACTCTTCCGTCAGAGCTGGGGGGAAAAAACCACCCTTGTAATTTATTTTATTGCACAAACTTGAAAGGCAAGACTTCACGCCTGTTCTTACGGTGAAAGTCTGTAAACGGAGCGTGTTTTCATGGTCGTCCCACATCACTGTGAGGTTTGATCCACTCAGGGTCAGTTCTAGGAGGGGAGCAGCTCACAGCACCTTCAAAAATGTGTTTTCTTTCATTTTATTTTTTCTTATAATTTCTTTTTATATTAAACTTAATATCAGTCCGTTAATACATCTGTGTTGAGGATAGATGCCGTTCCAGATTCTGCTACCCGCCCTCCCTTCGTGGTCAGAGTTCTTGCGGGGGCGGGGGCAGAATCGAGAAGAGAGAGAAAGAAATTCTCTAGGGTTCACCTCACCGGAGTGTGAAGGCTGTGCAGCCTCACAACCAAGCTGTCTGCATGCTGGAGAAGGGGGAACATCGGTAGCAGAAGGCCTCAGACCCAGAGAAGCCTATGGAGCAAAGGATGAGAGCTGGTGCACCCCAGTGTCTAAATTCTCAAGAACCTGGAGCTCTGATGTCCAAGGCAGGGGCTGCTGCTCCTGAAGAGAAAGCAAGAATTCATCTTTTCTTTGCATTTTTGGCTCATTTGGGCTCCAGTTAACTAACAGTGGGTCTTCCCACTTAGCCCCAGGCTCAAACTCTTATCCCGAACAGCCAATGACAAATCCAGGTGTGATGCTTGTCTGCCAGCCGCCTGTCTTTCCCTTAACCCAAGTAGTCTGACTACTGACATTCACCATCACACACGCCCTACACTGAATTAAAATGGGAGAAAAATTTATTCTCCGTCTTTCTACAGCCATATTTATTAAGACTTGGGGAGGGGGCATTCCATTTTCATTGACATGGAGCACTTCCTGTACACAGAACAAGGAACTCGGAGCACTTCCTGAATAAGGGACTCGGATGCCTCCGTGGAAGAGGGTTAAAATGAGTGTGTGAGGGAACACTAGAAGGAAAAACTCAGTTTTTTTTTTAACTTTCCTGAGCCATTCAGCTCTTACTCATGATGCTTAAAAAAATCAAAAGTACAAATTAATTATTATTGAAGACTAGGATGTACTAACCTAAAATAATTTTCATAGTGTAAGCACATTTGGAGTGAAACTTCTATTTTGACAATTGAAGAGCATTTAAATGTAAATTCCCCGATGACTCTAATTTCATCAATTGTGATTTTGCTGTAATCTGTCAATATTTTATCCAAATAAATGAAACTAATTAGACCTATTGAAAGAAAATAAAAGCAATGAAAACAAACAATATAACTCAGTCATAAGCACAAAAAGCACCTATTATAAGGGGGGGTGAGAATTTTCTTTTTCTGAGACAGGGTTTCTTTGTGTATTTTTGGAACATATCCTGGCAGATTCTCCTGCCTCTGCCTCCCGAGCGCTGGGAATAAAGGTGTGCACCACC